CGATGACAAAGCTGGCGGCGATGCCTCGCGTGGCGCGGCGTCGGATCGGGGGGTGAACCGCGCCGTGCCGGCGCGAGGGGGCGCGCGCGACGGGGCGGCAGACCTCAGCGTTGAGCTCCTCCCCCGGGGTGGGCCGTCGCCGGCGCAGGCGGCGGCGACGAGGGCGACGAAGGCGGCAACGACGACGACGACGACAAGGAGGGCGTCGAGGGCGACTAGACCAATGAAGGCGACGAGGACAACGACGAGGATAACGACGACGAGGACAGCGAGGACGACGGCGAGGACGACGAGGACGACGTCGAAAGCGACGACGAGTACGACAATGATCATGACGACGACGAGGACGACAAGCACGCGACGAGGACGCGCAAAGGACCAGGAGCAGGAGGAACGCCGATCCCCTGACAGCAACCCGGCAGCTCCGCTGGGGTCAAACTTCTCCTCTCTCCCGTCGGGCCGCCGGGCCGTGCTGGTGCCGAGTGGCGGTGTGGCGATGGCTGCCCTTTGTGGCCGCTGCGACGGCGCGGGGCGCATGTGCCAGCTCTGCCGGAAGGCCGAGCGGGTGGCTTTTCGCGGTGGGCTGCGCGGCGGTCAGCCCGGCAGGAAAATCACCCTGTCCAGGGTGAGGCGCCAACGTGCGCCGGCCAATCAAACATCAGCCTGGCGAAACGAGGTGCGCAGTGACTGTCATGGACGAGGTGCCGCAAAACGCGTGCAATACAAAGGGAGGAATGGGGAGTTGCAGTAATGGAATGGAGGATGGGATGAGAGGAGGAAGAGATGAAAGGGCAGGGGGAGGCAGAGCGGGAGGAGCAGGAACAGAAGGAGAGCGGGAAGAGTCGGGACCCAGAGAAAGAGGATGAGGAGAAGGAGGAGGAGGAGGAGGAGGAAGGGGAGGAGGGAGGAGGAGGACCAGTGTAAACCCAAGAGGCATCAACGATGTTGGAATGAACCCTCCCTCTAAGCTCCCTCTTCAGAGGCCCCTACAACGGCTCATGTTTACTGAGGGAACTGCATCGTTGGAAGGACAAGTGTTTGAAGACCCTGAAGCATGCCAAAACATTGTTCTGGGGATGCCAACGCCACGGGTCAACTGGACTGTTGCGTCTTGACGATTCTCAAGCGTGCCAGGTAGCCATTCCTGGGACTTGAACACCGCGAGTCAACAAAACCTGCGAACCCTCACAAGCCTGAATCCCTCAAAATCAATATTCCTGGTACGTTTGATCATGGGAATCCGTGAAGCTCTGACACATGCTTAGCACGAGTGTGCGCGGCGGTAAAGCGAGAACCACATGTTGAAAGGGTTTTTTTGATCTCCACGGACCCACCGCAAAGTGCAAGCAACTGGCAGGGCGGGACCTGCCAGCACTGAAAGACCTCGCCTCGGCGAGAGCCGCTATGGGGAGGGGGCTTCGCGAGTTCCTTTCGGAGCGCCCACTATGGCCCCCTCCCCGCACGGATCGACCCTCGGCTCGGGCTCCCACTGTCTGGCAGACATGCCAGAGACAGTGCACAAAAAGAAATAAACTCGCCACACAAGAACCAAGCCTGTCCCAAGTGGCGAAAGACAGGCGAGGACAGGCACCAGCTGACCCTCAGCTGGAAAAAATCGGCAACGCGTAGAGCGTCCTGAGCGGACAGGCGGTCGCCGCTTAGGTCGCGAAGCAGCAACCTATGCCACAACAGCCTGAAAGCCAAGGAAGCAAAGCACGGCCGAGGATAAGATTGAGAACAGAAACCGAAAGAAAAGGAATGGCTCCGAAGGCCAACGCACGAACAAAAGGTTCACACCTGCCAAAAAGAGAAAGGCAGGCGAGAACGCAGAAATTCAATCCGAATCCCCCGACTCCGCCTCCACAGTCCCGCCCGTTCCCAGATCGTCCGCTTCGCAGCGGAGAGACGCAGCAATGCGATTCAAGCACTCCCTGGTGGCTGAGGCCGAGGCGACCACATCACTCGAGGAAGAGCTGGGCGCAACGCTGCAGGCAGGAGCACTGGCAATGGCTGCAGTAGCTGGCACTGTGGAGCTGGGACGCTCTTGCCCTCCAGCGCTGGCAGCACTGCCAGTCGAGCCAGAGGGCGCAGAGCTCGAAACTCCTTCCTCCGAAAATTGAGGATTCGATACCAAATACGAGTTAAAGCAACGCACTAGCGAGGTGTCATCAACTGTGACACCTTTGCTGGACTTAGAGCACTGCGGGTGAATTCCCTTACACAAGGCGGCCCAACCCTGACGGCCCGCACGGGTAGGCTTCTTGCAAACTTCACCTAGGCCTCTAATCCTGCCACCTGTGGAGTGGCATTTACATTTTAGGCATATGAAAAGCACTGTCTTGTCAGAGCAGTCGAAGGCAACAGTCCTATGCCCAAGAGCATCTTGCCTTGCCGCATGCAGCTTAGAATCCTGGGGGCACCTACCAGGGGGAGGCCGTGACGAGCCCCTGTTCCCGCGGAGGCACACCGCACACCTCCAGACGTCAGCCCAGACTTCCCAACGATGGCCTACCTTACTGCGGGAGCTTAAATGCTCAGCAGGAGGAGGAGGGAGATAGGGAACGTCGAGAAGCCACCTGCAATCCGTCAAATTCTGACACATGTTTAACACGAGTGTGCGCGGCGGTACAGCGAGAACCACAATTTGAAAAGGAGCAACCCTCAATCCGTCAAGCTCTTGCAAATGTTTGATGCGAGTGTGCGCGGCGATAAAGCGAGAGCCACATTTTGAAAACCAGTCGCCTTCAATCCGTGAACCTCTTGCAATTGTTTAAGCGAGTGTGCGCGGCGCTAAGGCGAGAGCCACATTTAGAAAAAAGCCCGCCCTCCATGTGTTAAACTGTTGCACATTGATAAGACGAATGTGCGCGGCGCTAATGCGAGAGCCACATTTTGAAAACGACCCGCCCTCCATCTGCGAGGCTGCCGCCAAGATCTACACCTCAGACGCATAAGTGGTGAGGAAATATCAAGCGAAACGCCCGGCCCGCCCTAAAAACCTGCCTCGGGGTGCGACAGGGAGGATTTATGTATAAGGAAAACGAATGGATGATGATGATGATGATGAGGAGGAGGAGGAGGAGGAGGAAGAAGAGAAGGAGGAGCAGGTGCAGGAAGGAGGGAGGGAGGAGAGCGTGGTGCAGCGGGAGAAGGACACAGGCAGGGAGAGACGGTGGACACAGAGGAGGGAACGAGGTACGGGACAACATAAATACTTAGCCAGGTGGAGAGCGGGGAAAGGCAGGTGAAGTACAAGAGAGGACCGGTACGCATTATGAATAATGTCATTCGGCGTGGAGGTCCCTACCCATCGGTCGGAAGAAGCAGGTAGAAGCATGGAGTAGGAAGGCGTTGAACATAGATTGGGTGTCCGCCCGTCAACTGAGAGGACGGAAAAAGGTGAAGCCACTCGATCCTTGAAGTAGGAAGGCGCTTAGAGTAGACTGGGATCTGGGAATCCAAAAAGACATACTTTCAACAACCGATGGGCAAAAACCTTGGAGGTCCCTATGTGTGCACGTAATTTCCTGGCACTCGTGGCGGTGCGCGTCTGCGTGAGAAGCGGCTGAGGAGCGCTCCCTGGCGGCCACCCCCCCGGGGGGATGCTCAAAAGAGAAGCCTGATGCATCGCGGTGGTCAGGGGGGGCACTGAAGACGGGAAGAAGGAGGAGGAGGAGGAGGAAAGGGAAGAGGAGGAGGATGTGGAGGAGGAGGAGGAGGAGGAGGAATCGGGGGTGTCCACGACAGCGTTTCGCTTGGAACGTCCCCGCAACATGGCCGCGAACAGACATGCGTAATGCCCCCTGGAGGCCCTTGGGGGCGCCCAAGTGCAACGTGTGGAGCGCATCGGGATGTGAGTGGTCTGAGCGCGGTGAGTCTGAGTGTGAGCGAATTTGAATGCAAGTGGGTGTAGATGTGAGTGCGTCTGAACGTGGACGGGTCAGAGTATGATAGAGTCTGAGTATGAGGGTGCCCGAGTGTCAGTACATCTGAGCGCGTGTGGTTAGAAAGCGAATAATCGGAGAATGCGTGACTCCGAGTGCGAGTGGGTCTGCGTGTGGATGGCCAGTGTGTGAGTAGACAGGGCCAAATGCTGCGGCGACCGAATGCTGGCGTCTGATTTTGTCAACCCATGAAACGCGATATTCGCGCCGAGCTCAGTACCCGATTCGGGGTCAAAAGCCGAAAGGTTCGCTTGAAGCACGGCAATATATGTTTCCGCCGCTTGTTTTCTTCGAATATCCAACCCTAGCTTTGCTCCAGAGCCTATCACCACCTAGCGTTGAACTAGACTTCTGAGAGGGAACAGGGAGTGATCCACTTGTGACGCCGACAACGACTACGACCACTGGTGACCGCCGACAAGAGTTGGAACGCCGCCGACGACGCCTGCCGACGACGACGACGGCGTGGTCTCCTCGTGGAGCAGCCGCAGCACCGGCGGAAGCCGCTGTGCCTCCTGGCCTAAGGCCGCCGCGCGCGCACGCCGTCGCAATTGCTCGCCGTGACTCGACGTCGATGACGTATCTGAACCTAGTCCACCTCCAGCACATCCTTCCTCTCCTCCTCCCCCTCCTCCAGCACATCCTTCCTCTACGCCTCCTCCCCCCTCCGCTTTCCTCCTCCCTCTCATCCTCCGCTTCCTCCCCCTCCTCCCCCACTCCCCCGTCGTCGTTATCGTCGTCGTCGTCGTCGGCGGCGTCGTCGTCGTCGTCGCCGTCGTCGACGCCGTCGTCGAAGCCGCCGCCGTTGTCGTCGTCGTCATCGTCGACGCCGTCGTCGTCGTCGGCACCGTCGTCGTCGTCGTCGCCATCGTCGTCGTCGGCGCCGATGCCGTCGTCGTCGGCGTCGTCATCGTCGACGTCACAGCCGCCGCCGCCGACGTCGTCGTCGTCGTCGTCGTCGGCGCCGTAGTCGTCGGCGCCGTCGTCTTCGTCGTCGTCCTCGCCGTCGTCGTCGTCGGCGCCGTCGTCGTCGCCGCCGCCGCCGCCGTCGCCGTTGTCGTCGTCGTCGTCGTCGGCGCCGCGGTCGTCGTCGTCGTCGTCGTCGTCGTCGTCGTCGTCGTCGTCGTCGTCGTCGTCGGCGCCGTGGTCGCTGTCGTCGTCGTCACCGTCGTCGTCGTCGGCACCGTCGTCGTCGTCGCCGTCGTCGCCGCCGCCGCCGCCGCCACCGTCGCCGTCGTCGTCGTCGTCGTCATCGTCGTCGTCGTCGTCGTCGTCGTCGTCGTCGTCGTCGCCGCCGCCACTGTCGTCGTCGTCGTCGTGGTCGTCGACGCCGTCTTTGTCGTCGGCGCCATCGTCGTCGTCGTAGCCGTCATCGTCGTCGTTGCCGCCGCCGTCCGCCGTCGGCAATGGCCGCTGCCCGCCGTCGACCGCTGCTGTTTGCCGCCAGCAGTCGCCAGCCCCCAGCGGTAGCCGCCGCCCGCCGTCGGCCATCGGATGCAAGCAGTCCACACGTTGACGACTTTGACGAATTTGACGACGACGACGACTACATGTCGACGACTTTGACGCCGACTTCGACGACGACAACGACGGCGACGGCGACGGCGACGACGAGCTTGACGACGACGACGCCGCCGGTGCCCGCCGTCCGCACGGGCCGTCCGCACGCAGCGCCTTCGATCGAGGGCTGCCGCTCATCGGCGGCGCGCGGGCGGAGAGCGCTCGGCCACCGCCCGGCGGCACTCCGCCCGCGCGCGTCAGCTTCGCCAGACCCATCCTCGAAGAGGAGGAGCAGCAGCAGCAGGAGGAGAGCGAGGAGGAGGAGGACGAGGAGGAGGAGGACGAGGAGGAGGAGCAGGAGTAGGGCCTTTGGAGGAGAAGGCGGAGAAGGAGGACGAGGAGGAGGAGAAGGAGGAGGAGAAGCAGGAGGAGGAGGAGGAGCAGCAGGAGGACGAGGGCGAAGAGGAGGAGGAGGCGGAGGCTCGCCGCGCTGAGGCTGCCGGCCGAGCGGGTCGATGACGGCCAAGACCCGCAGGGGGCAGGGCGCCTGTGGCCGGGTCGTCGTCGGGCCGCAGCGGCGACCGTCGTGCGTCGCGCGTCGTCGTCGTCGCCGCCACCGCCGCCGCCGCCGCCGCCGTCGTCGTCGTCGTCGTCGACGTCGTCGTCGTCGTCGTCGTCGTCGTCGTCGTCGTCGTCGTCGTCGTCGTCGTCGTCGTCGTCGTCGTCGTCGTCGTGGTCGTCGTCGTGGTCGCCGTCATCGTCGTCGTCGTCGCCAAAGTCAACACGAATGTAGTCGACGTCAGCCGTCGTCATCGCTGGCGCCGGCGTCGTCCTCGTCGGAGTCGTCAGCAGAATCGTCGTCGTCGACTTCGATGCTGCCATCGAACGCGTCGTCGTCGTCGTCGTCGTCGTCTGTTGTCGCTCGTCGGTGTCCGTCATCCGTCATTCCTCGTCGGTCGCCGTCGGCAGGGACGAGGACTGGAGGAGCAGCAGGGAAGGTGACGGACGCATGTGGCACGAGGGGGAGAAGTGAAAATGCAGGGTGCAGCAGGAGAGATAAGGATTAAGCGCAGAAGGGTGGTGCAGGAGGGGAGGAGCAGGAGGGAACGGGAAGGATGACGCGCAGGAGGGGGGAATGTGGGAGTAGAGACTCCGGGGTGGTGAAGACAGCGAGGTTGCTGGAGGAGGGGCAGGGATGGGGGGGGATGTGGTTCAAGGGGGAACAGGAGGAGGAGGCGGAGGAGGAGGAGGAGAAGGAGGAGAAGGAGGAGGAGGAGGAGGGGCCCGAAGAGCCTCCCCTTTTCCTCTCCTCCCTCCCGCGTCCTCCTCTTCCCTCTTCGCATCCCTCCTCTCGCCCCCCTCCACTCCGACCCGCCAAGGCCCCCAGTACTTCGAAGGCACCCGCAAGCTGTCTACCCCCCACCCTCCTCCTGCTTCCCGCCCACGGTTTTACCAGCTCGAGGAAAAAGCTGTATCACGAGGGGAGGACGCAAAGGCGGGAAGGATGGGGGAGGGAGAGACGGCTGGAGGGGAGGGGGGTGAGCAATGTGGGAAGACGCCCACGCGCGCCGCCGCGAATGCCCCCCTCCCCTTCCGCATCTTCACTCCTCCTGACTTCCAGATTTCCTGACGGCATTGGTTTTCTCCGAACGCTGCCGCATCTACTCCTCCTCCTCCTCCTCCTCCTCCTCCTCCTCTTCCTCCTCCATTCGTTTTGCTTGAATAACTCGTGCCTGTCTCGCGTCGACCCCAGTCGGTCGGGCGGGCCGGGCGTTTCGCCCCGAGACCTGCTCACCACTTGTCATCCTGAAGCTGAGAAATAAGCACCACCTTCACGGATGGAGGGCGGGCCGCTTTCAACATGCGGCTCTCGCCTTAGCGCCCCGCATTTTCACCGTCAAAAGTTGCAAGGACTTCACGGATTGAGGGCGGGCCGTTTTCACATTGTGGCTCTCGACGTAGCGCCACGCACATTTTTTAACAATTGCAAGAGCTCCACGGATAGAGGGCGGTTCCATTTCCACATGTGACTCTCGTTTTAACGCCGCGCGCACACGTCTTACACATTCGCCAAGGTTTCACTGATTCCCATGGTTAGCTGACCAAGAATGGCGTGTTGGCACGATGTCGGACTGTCAGGGCGCAACAGTTAACGTTGAGTCACGGCATTGAAGTCCCAGAAATGGTGTTCTTGCAAGACTCAGGATCGCCAAGACGCCACAGTCAAAGGATTCGTAGAGTTGGAATCCCGGGAACGGCGTTTTGGCACGCTTCAAATGTTTCAGACGATTGTCTCCTAACGGGGCATTCTTCTCAGAGGAAACTACCCCGTTGCATGGGCCTAAGTTAATTCCAACATCGCTGATGACTCTTGGGTTTACATTGATCCTCCTCCTCCTCCTCCTCCTCCTCCTCCTCCTCCTCCTCGTCCTCCTCCTCCTCCTCCTCCCCTTCTTCCTGCTCCACCTCCCCCTCCCCCTCCCCCCCTTCCTCCTCCTCCTCCTCGCTTTCCTTCTCCTCCCTCCTCCTCCTCCTCTTCCTCCTCCTCCTCCTCCTCCTCCTCCTCCTATTCTTTCCCGCGGCAGCGGCAGCGGCAGCCGAGCAGGCGCGCCAACATCTATCATTCCCGCCCTCTTGCTGCTGCCGTTGCAGCTCCCTCCTCGTCGCGCGCCAGGTGGGTGCGGGCGGGGGGGGGGGCGGGGGAGAGCCCACAGGCGGGAGAGCTGCTGGCTTGGGAAAGGGTTCGGAAGGGCATGCTGAAGCCACCACTACGCCAAGTCCTGCAACCGCCTCTGACGTTCACAAGCCACGCAACGCTCGTCGGACTGGCTCTCCTACCTGCCGGCGAGGCCGCCGCCTACAGCGACGGGCCAATCCAGGCGAAGCGGATGAGCGGGAGAAGAGGGCGCCAAAGGAGGGGAGACGGAGCAATCAGCTCCCAAGGGCGGCCGGCTCCGAGCAGAGGAGGCGAGCGAGCCTCCAGTCTGCATGTGGGTCACTAGCAGGCAGAGCAACGATATGGAACCCCGACGGCGTGCACAGCAAGCGCGCCCAATGGCGCACTCCTGTTCCCGACCGAAGGGGAAGTACCTACCCTGTACCTTTCTCGGGGCGCCTGGGGCACGCACTGCGCTAGCACACCAAAAGACGCCAGAGGGGCCCAAGCAGACCAGTCAATTCATCCCGCACGTTTGGTGATGACGAGCTTGCGCAGGTCGCCGATGCGGACGCCAGCGAAACAAAACGCCGATTCGACACCTGGCGGCCCACGATGACCTCCGCGAGGCACGCCTTGGTGTCCCCTCAGCAAGCACGGCCTCCGCAGACGCGTCTGCTCCAGCAAACTCTGCTCCAGCACCTCGCGCCCCAACAGCGCAGAGGCGGATGTAACTTGACTCCAGTCGTGCTCTTCCTTGGTGTAAGCCAGGTACAGACCCTATTTAAACAATTCTGGAATCGATCTGCATGTTGCGTCCCAAACTGATGTGCCGACAGGTCCTGAAGAGGACCCTGTAAAGGATCTGGAATGGCCCGAGGGTCCTCGTACACACCCCGATGGCACGGCAAACCCAAGAGCTAGAACCTGCTGCTCGGGCGGGGCCCACAGGAGCTGGGGGGGCCACACCAGTGGCGATATAAGCGGCTGCTTGCCCTTCAAGTGCCGACGCGGGGGAGGATAGACCAGAGGTCCCGCGGCCGTGGGATCCACGATCTCATGCATTTGAGGAGAAGCACTTCTTCCCCAAGCTGTGTCCATGGCTGGCGGGAGAGGCAGGCAAAGTGGCAATTCGCCCTCAGGCGTCCTGCTGGGAGAGAACTGGCCCAGCAAAGCTTCCTGGGACGAGGGCCGTAAAGATCCAAGAGGCGTTCCTGAGCTTGGGCTCCTCCCATGGGAAAAGAGCGCAAGAGGCACCAGATCTTTGTCGAACACCGAACTATCGCAGCGTCCTGGCGGCACCTTCCTCTGATCGCGCCGACGACGCGCAGGGGAAAAAAGAGCCCCAAGTCGTCGCTGGCCTGGTGGGCGAAACCGCTTCGAACCTTGCGTTGACACTTGGCTACCATCGGCTTCTTCACCAGGCGGCGCATCCCTACCAACAAAATGAACGTCCATCTCATGTCCAGGCTATCAGTCACGTAAAATGCTAGATGGTGGCGCATTCCAACGCCACAGTGATATGATGGCACCGAGTGTATCAGGCACTTGTCACATTCGGTACATCCCCCCAAGTATTGCTCGCTCGTGCTTGGGCTCCCTTCTCGCGCTTCGCCTCCTGCGCGGGGTGGAAGTTGAGCTCGCCGCTGCCCTCGCTTGCTGCGTCGCCGCTGCCGCTGCTGCTGAATGCGTAGCCTCGACCCCAGCCGCCCGCGTCGGTGGGTGTAGCTCGGACTGCGAGGGCGGGGGCGGCGATGGCTGGGTGTTGGGGATGCTGCCCTGGCTGGGGTCGATCGGCTCGTTCTGCATGTGCTCGAACAAGTGCTTTGGGCCTTGGATGCGCTCGTCCTGGGACAAGGGCTGCGTCGGTGCAAGCAGCGTGGGCGAGACCATCGGCGGTGTCTCTGGTACCTGCTTGGCCTCCTCCTCCGGCTGGAACAGCGATGGCGCTTTTGCCAATGTTGTGTTTGGAATGTTTATCGATTCTGACTGTCGGAGTGCTTCTGGCGTGCCAAAGCCTGGGCGTGCTGGCGGTGTAGCTGCAATTAGTGTCGCTGCCGTCCGCTGCTCCCTCGACGAGATAGGTGTCTCGGTACCGTTGATCGGTGTCGGCGCCGCCGCCTGGTGCTGCAACGTCACCGGTGGTAGTGGCGGCGGCGGTGGCAAGCTCGCCTGAGCATCTGGCGTCGAAGGGATCGGGTCCGCTTGGCTCAAGGGTCCCTGGTAGCCGCTGGGGGCGGTATTGTGCGGATTTATGAAGGCCATTTTCCTGGCGACCACGGGCACGCCCTGGTGCTGGTTGCGAGCCTGCTGGCCAGGTTGGGGTACGTGGCCTGGCTGACCTGGCTGATGAACCCCCACTGCTGGTGCCGCAGCTCGCGGATCAACTCCTGCTGCTTTGGCGCAGTAGATTCCACCATTCTGCGCGACCAAGCTTTGCAAGTGGTGCGCGTGGAAGTTGTAAACTGCCAACAGCCTCTGCACCACCTGCTCGTTCGACGACTGACGTTCCGAGACTGGCTTGATGGACTGACTGCTCTGTGCGAGGTACTTGTGAACCTCAGCGCCCTGGGCATCGTCCGAACCGACTCCGCGGGGATAGGCAGCCGTCCTGGGGGCGGCCCGCGCAGGCGGAGGGCCTGGCGCCTTGCGTTCCTGGCGGTCCCTCGGCTCGGGCCGGGCGGCCGGAGAGGGCCTGTAGGGCTGCTCGCCAAAAGTAAGGTCCATTTCCATGTCCCAGCCGTCGTCTGCCTCCCGCTGAAGCTGGTCGATGGACGCGTGCAGTTTGCGAATAGACTTCTTCAGCTTCTTCGGGGTCCCCTTGGGGCTTGTACCACACCTCGTGCCCGCACGCTCTTTCTAGAGTGGCGGTCGGAACCGAGCGGATCGTTTCACCGATCTTGGCGCCTCGACGATAACGACGAGAGGGCTGACTGGAGTCACGATTCTGCTTGGGTATGTGCTTTCACTGATTACCGCATGGGCACACCCACACAGTGATTTTGTGTTGCCTGTCACACTGCCTGCACTTCCACATTCCTGCCGTGTTGAAGTTGTGGCGCTGCTCTAGCACACGCTGTACTGCAACAACTTTCAGAAGAAGACGCGCCTGACCATGACGGCGCCTGAGCCGACTATGCCAAGCAGGGTCCTCTCCTCGCTGGCGGCGCGGTCTCCGCTCCCTCGGAGCCCTGGCGATGCCTGCGCGCCCGCACTTCCTCGCGCTGGCGGGGGGGATCGCGACGCTTGAGGCCTGACCTCGCAAAAAAGGGCTCGGGAAGTCACGCCTCCCCCCTCCTCCTCCTCCTCCTCCTCCTGCTCCTCCTCCTCCTTCTCCTCCTCCTCCTCCTCCTCCTCCTCCTCCTGGGGTCGTCGCTGTGAAAAATCACAACGTCGGGGGTCTGGGAAACGCGAACTGGGCGAAGACCAACAGAAACACCTGGGATGACAAGGAGAAGGAGCGAAGGAAGCACACGACAGTCCCCTTGAAGAGGCTTAAGGACACACAAATAAATGCACACAAATCCCACGAACCCCATACTTTCTTGTATTTTCTGGATTCGCGTTTCCCCCACTTTCTGGAGATCGGAGATTACTTGTGTCTGTGTGTTTTTTCCCCTCCCGACCCCTGCCCGCTTGGCCCCCCATTTCCAATCAAGATGGAGTGATTTGGAAGGGAGAGCTCGAGACTGGATGGGTATGGCGGGCGCTCGGCCCTCAAAAGGGCTTGAGGAGGAACCCCTCTCTCTCAAACTCCGAGGAGGAAGGGGAAGGGAGGAGCACCGAACGCGGAAAAGGGGCCGAAAGCCAGGCATACTCATCCAGTCTGGCGCCGAAAAGGGGGGGGGGCGCCCGTCCACTCCTCCTCCTCCTCCTCCCCCTCCTCCTCCCCCTCCTCCTCCTCCTCCTCCCCCTCCTCCTCCTCCTGCGGTCAGGAGCTTTTTGGCAAGTCGAGGCGGGGGGCCCGGCGACACGCTTCGGCCTGCGAGCGGATGGCGCGTCGCTCCGCGGCCAGGGGGGGGGGGGCTGGAAAAGACTCGAGAAGTTGACGCTTGGGGGCGGCGACGTGGATAGCGTGTCGCGCCGAAGCGTGGTGGGCCAGAACCGGCGGAGAGGCACTCTCAGCAAAGTTCCTGACCGCATCCTGCGGCCTTTGATCCCACCACATTCCTAGATCTCCGACGTTTATTTTCTCTGTTGTTATGTTTATATATATATGCATGAGCAAAATCAAATTTAAATTTTGACGCCCGAGCTGGGTACGGATATGCGATGCCCATCAGCACATGTTGTCCAAACCTGACGGCGACCGCTGTTGGGCAGGCGAGCCTGCGCCTCAAGAGGGCAACGACCTCTGCGACGCCGATAGCGAACGCCGTTCAAAAATGGACCGAAACGGCAGTCGGCTTTCGTACCCAGTCGTTCCGTACCCATCAAGCACACCCAAAAGGAGGTCCAGCTGAAGGGTGGTGGTGCAAGGAAATAGTATTGCAAATGTACTGCGCCAGAGACTTGTATTCCATCGTATTGCAAGTAATGTAGGGCACGCGAAAATCCAGCAATACATTTGCGCCCCGGAATGTATTGCACGCCCCAAATGTATTGCAACCCCACAAATCTACTGCACCACATCAATTGCACCACTCCCTTGTCGCTGGACTCCCTTTTTGGTCAACCCGAACCCAGCATGTTTATCGTACTGGCGGATCGGCTATTCATCCTGAATCGTTTTCTGACGGCCCCGGGGCGCAAGGAAGTGCCCCCGCGAGCCGAAAATATAGAAACACCTCCCCTCGTTCTCTTTCACGACGGAAGGCCATGGCGATAACTAGAAGATCCGGCGGCTGATCGGGACGATCCAGGAATCCCCGGAACGCTCTCGGCGGTGTGCAGCGAATGGAAGACCGCCGAGGACCGGGGCTGGGAAACCGCCGAGGACCGACGAAAGCGCCCGAAACCTCCAACCTCGAGCCCTCCATGCCCCGAAACCTCGAATCTCGAGCATTGCATTCTTCACCAACCCCATGACGAAACGCCCGAGGCGGGATCCGCGCGTATTGCATTAAAGGTATATGGACCCTAGACCGTGGGGCTGTGCATAGTGGACAATGTTCCGGATAAAATTCCGCCCGATGGTTCTCTGGGAGAATCGTGTGGAACAAATGTATACACAGCGGTTGGGCCGCCATTCGCCACCCAGTGATGCGCAAGCATAACACTTTTCCGTCGTGGCGCGGCAGAGGCGACCCACTCGCGCGTCGAACAACCTGGGATACGGCGTTGCGACCTGTCCCGCGTGCAAGAAGGGCGGGACAACAAAGGAAGAGGCGGCCGCAGAGTGGGAGGGAGGGAGGGGGGGGGGGGCGGGGCGCTCAAGCATAACACATCCCAAACATGCGACGTCCTGATTTTTGCAGGACGGCGTCCCCCGAAGTCCCGACCCTTTCCCCGGGGCCGGTTTATCATCCTGAGTCGCTTTGTGACGGTCCCGGGGCCCGGCGAGGGCCTCGAGAGGCCGAAAACGACGAAAAGCCTTCGTCCTGAAGATTTTACGATGCGACAATATCTGGGATCGTATCGTGGGCGTGCTCCTGGCCCCGACGAGGGACAGCCCGTGGGGCCCCACGGGTTGTCCCTCCTCCTCCTCCTCCTCCTTCTCTTCCTCCTCCTCCTCCTCCACAGTTACTCAATATGAATACTACTACCCTCTTCCCCCGATGGCGGCCTGAAAGTATTAGACCCCCCACCCCGCGTATTGTTTTTTACACACAGGATTCCCGGGAGTTGGGTTTTCGCCTGCGTTGTTTTCAAAATGCTGCTCTCGCTGAGGCGCCGGCTTCATTTCTGCTCCCGAATCGTTCCGAATCGTGCTCCCGCTGCAGCGTGGGCCTCATTTTCGGATCGGTGTTTGGCCTCCGTCGTTCAGGATGGCGTGCTCGCCCCAGCGCGGGCCTCTTTCTCGCGCGCCCATCCGCCGCCGCCACCACCGCGCCGCCACACCACACCACCACACCACCCACACCAGCACCACACCACACCAGCACCAGCACCAGCACCAGCACCAGCACCAGCACCAGCACCAGCACCAGCACCACACGCACACACGCACGCACGCACGCACGCGCACCACCACCCACTACGCACGCGCGCGCGGAGCCACAGGTCCGCTACGACACGCGTCCGCGGATAGAGAAAATCAGCGCCATGGTAAGGGATGGGAGGGAGGGGTAGGACGTCAGATATGACGCGAGCGCACCTAGCTTGTCCTCCTCCCCCCCCCCCCCCCCCCCGGGGGGGGGGGGGGGGGCCGCGGGCCTCTCTGGAGGGCTCCAGGTGCAGGCGCAGGCCGCTGGGTGCCTGCGCGCCGCACGTTCGCGCGCGCTCTGTCTGCGCACCCCTGGGGGGGGGCGCGGCGCTCCTCTGCGCGCGCGCGCCGCGCCGCCGCCGCCGCTCCGGGGGGGCAAAGCTTAGGTCGGGCATGTCCTCCTACAGGCGGATTTTTAGCGACAGATGTTTTTAAACATACCCCCAGCATGTTCAAACATTGTCAAACATGAAACAACAAATCGTCTCGAGATGTGTAACAATTTTTGAATACTCCCTCCGTAGAGGCACAGGCCCGACTTAATGCAAAGGGGGGGGGAAGGGAAGGCGAACTCAAACTGTGGGCGCAGTGAGGCGCCAACACCAGGATGCGTGCGCTGGTAGGGCAAAGGGGAAGGGGGGAGAGGGAAGGCGCACTCAAGCTGTGGGCGCAGTGCGGCGCAAACACAAGGGTGCGTGCGCTGGTGCTGGGGACAGCGTTCCCGATCCGCGTTGCGCCTACACCCTTCACCCGCAGGTGGCTTCTGCCCGTGCTCGCTCGCGTGTTGCACTGGAGCTCTACATACGTACTCGCAGCAGAGGGGGGGGGGAAACGAAGAGAGGGGAAGACGAGGGAGAAGAGGGAGGGAAATTAGGGAGACAAGGGAGGCAGGAGATGAAGGAGGAGGAGGAGGAGGAGGAGGAGGAAGAGGAGGAGCAGGAGTAACGAGGACGCGAGGACGCAGGAGGAAGGGTAGGAGGGATGGGGAAGGAGGGACGACAGAGGAATTTGATTTGACACGTCGCATCGCAGAGGATAGGACCAGCAGCACAGAGGAGGAGGGGTGGAGGAGGGAGCGCCGTGGGAGAGAGCAGAAAGGTCGGATGAAGGAGGAGGAGGAGGAGGAACAAGAAGGGTTTCACGCAAGGTGTTCTGGATGGGTCCGAGGGCTCCAGTGGGCCCTGAGTGGCTCTAGGGGCAGTGATCGAATCAGCCGCCAAGCGGACACAAAATACGCCCGGCACACACCAGGCGTTGTTCGCCTCTCGCCTGTGTAAAGTGTGACCCGCTCGCTCTTGGCGACCGCCCCTGGCTGCGACAGCCAGGGCCGCTCCTCCTCGACCGCTTCCCCGAGGGAGCGGCCAGAGCGCCTCGGAGGCTCTCGGCGGGCTTCGGTGGCCTGCGGAGGCAATGCCAAAGGCGTTCGGAGCTCCGTCTCAAAAAGTGACGGTAATTCCAGGAATCTGAGGGTTGACGTCCCAGAGAGGGTGTGCTGGCGTGAGGTAGACTGTCAGGGCGCAACCGTTGCGTTGGCTCGCGGTGTCGAAGTCCCAGGACTAGCGCCCTGGCACAATGATGGATCGTCAGGCCTTAGCAATGACCTTGGTTCGCGGAGTTGACTGGTGTTCTGGCGCGGCTCGAGATGTTCAACCGATTGTCTTCCAGCGGGGCACTCCGCTCAGTAAAAATGCATACCTGTAGTGACTTAGGACAGGGGAGTTGGAGGGATGGTTGAATGCAACACCGTTGATGAGTCGTGGGTTTGCACTGGTCCGCCTTCGCCTTCTCCTCCTTGTCCTCCTCGCCACCAGCATACTCCCGACATTCTTCCCCATACATCCTTTTCTCTCCGCCTCCCCCTTTATCGCATGTTCCTCATTATTCTAATGCTCTGCTCCTCCTCCCCCTTCTCATTCCAATTCGATCCCCAGACGTGTCCTTAGGTCGGTCTGGTGAGCGTCTCGAAATCAGTCCTGCAATGGCCACAACGCCACCCCCCACGGCAAAGAACAAACCAACAGGCCCCCATCCTCCTCATCCGAATCTTCCCTCTCCTGGCTCATCCGCTCTCCTCCTGCTCCGCACTCATCCTACCCATCCTCCTCAAATCTCCACCGCCCCTTGTTCCGTCTCCTCTTCTTCCTCCACCTCCTCCGCCCTCCTCCTCCTCCTCCTCCTCCTCCTCGTCCTCCTCCTCCTCCTCTTCCTTCTCCTCCTCCTTATCATCATCATCACTCGTCGTCTTCGCTCTTCGCCGGTCTCTTCCTCTTCCGCCTCCGCCCTCCTCATCCTCCTTATCCGTATCCTCCTCCTCCTGCTCCTCCGCCACCTCCTCTCCTCCTTAGCCTCATCCCTCCTCCTGCTCCTTCCCTCCTCCCCTCTCCTCATCCTTCGTCATCCTGCAGCCCCGCGGGGCACATTATCATACTTTGTGAGTCCCCTCATCCTTTCTGTTCCTCCTCATCCCTCCTACCTTTCAGCCACGCAGCCTTGAACTACATGATCCCACGGGTGTGGAACCAGCAGCAGAGAAAATCATCAACCTGTGGGCACACGCCCTACCTCACCTCCTCCTGATGTATATACTACGGCCGAAATACGTCTTGTCTCCCTCCTCCTCCTCCTCCTTCTCCTCCTCGTCCTCCTGATCCCCGATCCTCCTCCTGCTACCCCTCCGTCTTCTCTTTCCTCCTCCTCCTCGTCCTCCTCTCCTCCTCGTCCTCCTCTCCTCCTCCCCACCTTCCTCTCTCCCTCCCTCCCTCCCTGCCTCTTTTATCCGTGCCCCCCGCCCGCTTTCGCTCCCCCCTCCCCACCTTCCTCGCCCCCTCCCAAAGCGAGAAGCGCGGACGACGCTCCTGCGTGCCACCGCCCAGGGGTTGCTCCCGCCCCGACGGGTTCTCGGCTGCGGTGGTCCATGTTTCTCTTTCTCTTGTTGGAAGGGGAGGGCAGGCCGGGAGGGGGGGGGGGGGGGGGGGGGGGGGGGGGGGGCGAAAAAGGGAGGGGGGGGGCGCGGATGAAGGAAGCACGCAAGGAGGGAGAGAGGAAGGAGGGCAGGAGGAGAAGCGAGGATCAGGAGGGGCAGGGGCGCGAGGCAGGCAAGGCGCACTTCGGCCGCGGCACGCACCGTCTCGGCGGTCGTGGCCCAGTGCGCCCGCGGCAGGCCACGGCAGGCAGGCGCGGCCGCAGCGCGAGGCCGCCGATGGCCCAGCGGAAGCGCCCACCACCGCGGAGGAGGCGGGGGCCCCGCGGCGATCGCCCCGCCCTCCCCGGAGGCGTGCGCCCGACCCCCAACAATAGTAGCACGGAGGGGGGCAATATCCACAAGAAACCTTCCACACAAAGATCCCGTCCCTGAGACCCCAGGGCGTCCATCGACGTTTGGTGTGGGCACGTCACGCTTTCTATCGCAAAACCATCGAAACCCAAGAAACCCAGGGTACCCTGGAGGCAAGCGGGGTGTTTCTTGGCATGGGTCTCCAGTGAACAACCGTCTTGTAGTGTAGTTTCCCGAGCGGTACGGCCAGAAAGCGCCCGCCACGAAGCATACACGACAAGAGTTCTCTGGCGCGCGCGTCGCCCCTGTGGGGGCGACGCGTACACAGTGTTAGTATGTTTAGGGGACGCCGACCTTCCTCGGATGACCGCAGTTTGGAAGAAAAATGAAAGGCGGACATCTACAGTCAGGTCGGGCATAATCCAACAAAAATCGGGAAAACTCAAAAAGAGCACGAAACATCGTCCCCTGATTGTTTGTTGGACCAATTCTGGAGCATTCCCCATGTAAAAGGGAGATGCCCATTCTAAATCCATGAAGACCCCCCATCCCCTCAGCAACCACCGCGGTCGGGGTACCCGGAGCCCTGAACTCTCCCCCCGGGGGGCCAGTCTTTTGTTCCAGGTTAGTTTTGTTTGAGATCCCGAGGCCCGGCGAGGGCTCCCCATCCGCCCCAGGCGCTCCCTTCATAGGAGGCACCTCCCGGGAGGTCTTCGCGGGAGGCAGAAGCAACTTGTGAACTTCTTGTTCGGCGTTTCGACATTGGGCGGAAGGGGGGGGGGGGGAGGGTCTGGCTCTGGACCTCTGCTTAGCGCGACTATTTGCGACAGTGCGTCCGATGGGGGAGACCCCACCTGCTCGAAGCAGGCGCCAGAAACAGCCAAGATCCACTCCATGGGGGAGGGGAGGGGGGGTGCGAGGGCCCGCGCCGATCGGCAAAACAATGAATAACTGAATAAGAAGACGGTCACCTTAAACTAACATGTTTCATTGCTTTTGCATGGTGGCCCCCCTGGGGGCCCTCAAGGGCCGATGGCAGTGGAGGTCGCCCCGCCGGGGCAAGTGAATATCGCTCGCTCCACGGCGAGGCAGGGGTGAAGGGAGCCGGGCTGCAAAGCCAGAGGGGGGAGTCGAGATCGCTCGCGCAGCGCTCGGGGCATCCGCACCCAGCGTGCCCTGACTCAGATAACCGCTGTGGTAGGATAAGAGGGCAAGGGAGGTAGAGGTACAGGAATACTCGGATTCGTCCAAGAAGGGGGGCGTCCAAGAGGAGGGGGCGCAACTCATGGCCGGCGGCATGTTCGCAGCCCAGGGGGGCGCCGGGGACGTTTTGGACTAAGAAGAGGAAGAGGCGCCATGAAATCTGGGAAGATATCATAGCCCCCGCCATGATATCCAACCCCGCTTGTCATCCCCCCCCTTGCCGCCCTCGACATACCCAGGAAGCCGAAAACGAGAGAAGACCATCGGCATCAATAAGCCCAAGTGTCGCGACTTTTCCGCAGCAGCGTGGACCCCAGGGGTCTCGTTGCCTTCCTACTTGGATGACCGCGGGGGCTGATCAGGGGAAAGGGGGGCCTTGGACGAACTGTGATAGTGGGTTATATCTGGCCTAGCCTAGAATATAAGTTGGCTCCGTGTCTCGAAGAGGCTAGCTAGGTGACTCGGGCACCCCCCACTTGGCCCAAATCTTCGCCCCCCAACCAGCCGCTTAGAACACTTATGGCCCACTCATGAAGCTGGGAGATGGGTGAGGCCAGATGCAATTTACATTGGCAGCCCACTTAAAAACCCCTGTCCCCATTAAGACCCTCCGCAGAACTCCAAGTAGGGTAGGCGGCAATACCAGGGAGGCCTTCGCTGAATTATACCGATTGGCGCCCGGGGTTCAGCCAGAACGCGCGGGAACAAGCAGGAATGTGCCAACTTTTACCACGGCTATGCCAGCGCCCATGCCGGATTTAACCTCCCAAGAGTTGCACCCGGGCCTCCCCATCCGCCCTGGCGCTCCCCTCCCTCCACGGGGGAGGGGGAGGCGGAGGGGGGAAGGGGGGTTCGGACGAACCGGACCTAAAACCATCTTCTTGTTAAGCTTTGGCATCGGGGATGCCGTTTGGGGCCTCAGGGCTATCAAACATCAATCATGGATGGCCCCCCAGGAGGCATCCAGGGATTGATGTTGCGCACATTTCGGAATCGCGCGGGGGCCTTCTTCCGCCGTCATCCTCCGGTCGTTCCTCTCTCATCCCCTCCTCCTGCCCGCGTCCTCTCTCCTTCGTTCTCCCGTCATGTCCCGTCCCTTCTACTCCTCTCACATCTCTCATTCATCCCACCTCTCATCCTACCTCCCGACTCCTGTTGCTCCTCAACCTACTTCCTTGCCTCGTCCTCCCGCCCCCCTCACTCTCCTTTATCCTCCCCCTTCCCACCTTCTTCCCCAAACAATGCTGAAGAGACTCGGTTGGGTACTCCGATGTTTCGGCTTGTGCCCGGGTTGGTGCCTAGTGGTGGGCGCTCGTGGGCGCCCACGCACCTTTCACAACATAACTTACACCGCATAGCTTGCACCATATAGATAGCATCACCTGTTATATACACCACGTAGCCTGCGGCATTTAGCCTGCACCACATGTCTTACACAACCTAAGTTGTATCACGTACCTTGCACCACATAGCGTACACGAAACACTTCCAACGCACAAATTACACAACACAGTGTGCACACACTTCTAATGTGCGACCCACGACGGCAAACATCCCTTTCCCCTCAGTCTCCTTCTTCTTCGACCCACATCATTCCTCTTGCTCCTCCTTTTCCTCTTCCCACCTCCCTCCTGCTCCCGCGTCATCCCCCCTCCCTCCACCTAATCTTCGTCGTCCTTTCGCTCCCGCACTTGGGAAGCATCCCTCCCCGTCCTCCTTTTGAGGGGCAACGGTGGGGGGGACTGGCACAGGGGGGGAACATCGACCTGGAATCGGCAATACATCGCCGATAGATCGGCGATTGGCCTCCGAGAGTGAATCCGCAGGCCCCTGTCGGCGATCAATGGACGACTGGGGGTCGATGCATCACCCCATACGCCTATCGAGGAGGAGGAGGAGGAAGAGGAGAAGGAGGAGGAGGAGAAGGGGGGGAGAAGGGAGGAGGAGGAGGAGGAGGGAGGAGGATCTGACCTTCTCGTCCCCCGATCCCGATCTCGATCCATCGCCCCATCCCGCCGCGGTTGTATCCAAGGACTTCCCGTGCGATCGGGGTGGCCGCTCGCCGCGCGCACCCTCCGTGGAGCGTCCTCTGGACCGCTCGTGGGTCAGGGAAGCGGCAGGGCAGATCTTTTGCCGTTTCCCAGAACACATGTTGACTATTAGAATGGCGCAAAAACATGTTCACCGAAACGGCCTGGGCAATCCGAGATCCGAAGGACGTCCAGAACCGGCTCGGAGACGGCTCGGGACCAGTGAAACGACGGTGGTCTGGACCCGGCCCTGTCGTTCACAGGGCCCACTGGGCCCCAGACCTCCCTGCGGACTGAGCATTGAGTTTTCGCATCGTGAGGGGCACCTTCCACGCACAACCTCTGCGGAGTGACCCCCCCAGCGTGGAGGACCCCCAAGAGTCGCAGAGGCGTCTCGGCGGATCGAGCCACCATCCCGCACAGGGTGGCCTGCGAGGTCAGCTCACTGCGGGGCGCACTTGGGATGCCTCACCCGCTCTGCCCTGGCCTGTCAATCTCCTTGGCGTATCTTTCGTCGCATCGAACAGCTCGCTCGAGTGCGGGATGTCACCCCGGTGCTCTCAGAGCTCCTGGGGCGGAGGCTCATGGATGAGGAGGTGGGAGGAAAGTAGTCTTTCCCTCCGCACCCGCCTTGCTCTGTTGCGCTCTCTCTCTCTCTCTCTCTCTTAGTGTGTTTGTGTTGTCTTTCTCTCTCTCTCTCTCTTTCCCCGAGTCTGTATGTATGCATAAGCCAGTTCTCTCTCGCTCACACTCTCACTCTCTCTCTCTCTCTCTATCTCCCTTCCTCAATCAACATATGCTTACGTTTGTCATGCACACCTGTATCCCTTCCTATCCTTCTTTTGTTCCTCCTGGCCCCCCTCTCTCTCATGTCCCTGCTGCCTTCGTTCCCTAGCATACATCTCTCCTGCATAGGGTGCCTGTCCTGTCGCTCCCTAGGCCTGGTTGGTCCACACGGCCACCAATATTCGTCATAGACATTGCGGTAATGATGGACTTGCGACTTCATGAAGGCCAGCTTCATCTCAATTACGAAGGCCGTCCTGGAGGCGTCCAGAAAAGCTCCTGAGTCAACTGTCATTCCTCTTCATCCTCGCCCCCTTTCTCCTCAATCCAAGAGAATGTCCTACACGGGGCCTGCTTGGGGTCTTACTAAGAATGTGCGTGGTGAGTTATCCGAGCGAGAAACGGTCAGGCATCACGCCAACGCCGCGGTCAGATCCGCGACAGGATCCAGGTCCACACTTTTACGGGCAATTGATACTAAGGCCTAAGCCGAGTTTAAGGAAGAGGGCGGGGGGCAAAGGTTGCAAAGACAGTAAGATGGTGTGTCAAACGGCAACTGCCTTGTACAATATCCTTGGTACGCGGCGGTTCTATGCGTGCGAAATGTGACGGCAATCTTGAATGCGACTGGACATGCATCCGTCCAACCATTATGTCACGATGGCATGCTTCGCAGGCTACGCAAATCTGCGCCACACCTACCCAGAAGAGCCAAGCATATTGCAGCTCGGGAAGCGACTGTACAACGCATCACTTTCGAGCCCAAGCCCTGCAACTGCAAATTAGACCTCACGCGCAAGTGCTCGTATGGGACTCGTCGTTCAGCGCTGCCCAGGTGCCGACGATCAGCCGCCTCTGCAAGACGGGACGGCGGGGAGTGGGAGGGGAAGCGTATTGCTTGCTGCAAGCAGTTCTCACACCCCCAGACTATCCCTGCCAACAAGTCATAGATAGCGCACGTTGTGGCAAAAACAAATTCACGCGCGGGCAACACGCGATCGCGCGCTGCGTGGTTCTTCCTTTGGACAGGGACGAAGGGGGTGCTGGCATAGGGCCTGCTGCGAGCAGGCCCGCCATCCCTGTCAACCAAGCGTGCCAAAGACATTCTCCGGCAACGATCATTGCGCGGGAGCCCCGCGACCACCTTGCACTGCTATGTGGCAGGGATGACGGAGGTGCCCTGGCACGCGCGGCGCACCTCGTCTGCGTCGCGCACCTGGCTGGCGCCCGCACGAGTCCCCGATCATGCTCGATGTCGGCCTCTGCCCATGCTGAGACTCGAGTGCTACTTGCGCGGTGGGAGGGCGGACGGGAGTGAGCGAGACGGCCGTCCTCCATGGGGGGGGGAGGGCGAACTTGACACTTCCCCCTGCCCCATCCCCTGGGACGGGCCGGCCCGCGAGGTATCGGACCGTCCTCTTTGGCCCAAGATGGTCCCAAGAAGACTTCCGAGAGGCCAGGGAAGCCTCCGATATGTAGTGCAAGATATCACTGGATGGGTCAAGCCTCCAAGAAGCATCCAATAAAAATGCCCTCCCCGCCCCCAAGGAAGCTCCCAAGGATGCTCTCGAGAGGACGCTTGTGTTCCAAACACTGTCAGGAAAACGCATGGCTCGTGTAGCCTCGCCGTTTCGCTTCAAATAGGCTTCTGAGGTCCCAAGATTGCCTGAACGAGCCTCGAGATAGTCCCCAGCGGGCTGCAAGATGGCCCTAAGGGCGCTCAAATAGGCGCCCGGGATACAATTTTTAGGGCTCAGGAGGGCTGGCCCTGATCCGCGCCGCCCTTTTTTGTTGCGCGACGGCCTCCAACATGGTCCCAAAAGGGCACCCGAATGGCCCCAAGAGGCTCCTAGAGCGAGCGATCCGCAAAGGCTGCTAGTATGCTTGAATCGTCGTCGCCCCCTTCCTCCCATCCCCTATCCTTGTCCTCTTCATCATCCTCCTCTTCCTCCCACCTCTTCCTCCGTCTCCTCCACCTCATTATCATACTTGTCCCTCTCTTCCTCCTTATCCTTGTCTTCCTCCTTCTCTGCCTTCCGCCTAGGGTTTGCAATAATTTGTGTGGAAACTGTCTTGTCACTCGTTTGGTAATTGAAGAATGCTCGCATTCCTCCTCCTCCTCCTCCTCCTCCTCCTCCTCCTCCCTGTTCTTCCCACCGTGTCATCTTTCCTCCTCCACCTCTTCCGCCTCCTCCTCATCCTGCTCCTCCTCATCCTCCGCCTCGTCGTCCCCCCACGCAACCATGATCCTTCTTCATCCGCTCCTTTTTGGTTCACTGCTGGGTCTGCCCATACCGATCCATCACCCTGGTTTGACGACTACCCCGATCCTTGTTCCAGCGAGTGCTCATGCGCTCTACGCTTCCTGGTCAAAGCAACTCATCTGGGCAATGTTCCTGGATGGGCTGGCGGGGACACACAGGGCGTCTAGAGTTCAAGCTCCATGAACAGTAACCGGCCTCTGGGAGAGGGGAGGGAGAGGAGAAAGGAGACGGATAGAGAAGGGAGCCACAGGGATGCAAGGGAGCCTGCCGAGGGACGGGGAGCAGGACGTGATAGAGGAGGCACAGGGGAGCACAAAGGGGAGGATAAGGGGCAATGAGGGGCCTCCTCCTCCTCCTCTTCCCATACCCACCTGCCCTCTTCATCTAAGACGGATCTCCATGTGTGTCCTCCTTCTCCCCCTATTCTATCTCTTCGAGGGAAGTGCAGGGGAAGGAGGAGGATGAGGAGACATATAACATCGAGGGTACCGACGAAGCAGAGGAGGAGGATCTAGAGGAGAAAGACGGGATAGAGGAGGAACAGCAGGAGGAGCACGACGACAACAAGCCTCTACGGGGTAAAGATGATATGAATGACGAGGAGGAGGGGGAGAACCAGTTCATACTCAAGACTCAGAATCAACGGTGCTGGAATAAACCCTTCCTCCGAGCCCCATCTTCGTAGGCCCCTATCAGGGTTCATTTCCACTGAGGGAACAACCTCGTTGGGAGACAACCGTTTGAAGACCCTGAAGCATGCCAAAACACTATTCTTGGGACTCCAATGCCACGGATCAACCTGACTGCTGCGTCTTGGCGATCCTGGATCGTGCCAAAACACCGCTTCTGGGACTTCATCACCGCGAACCAACGTAAAGGAATCCGGGGCTTTTCTAGAAAAAACAGTTCCTGGTACGTTGACCATGGGAACCCGTGGAACTCTTGCAAACTAATGAAACAAATACACGCGGAACTAAACAGAGAACCACCTATTGAAAACGAACCGCCCTCAATCCGTGAAGCCCTTGCAACATTTAAAACACATGTGAGCGGCTCTAGAACGAGAGCCGCAATCAGAAAACAAACCACCCTCAATCCGTGAAACTCTTGCATGTGTTTGAGACGAACGTGCGCGGCGCTAAAGCGAGAACCACCTTTTGAAAACCGCCCGCCAAGGATTCGCAAAACTCCTGCAGGATGTGAAAACGAATGCGCGCGGACCTGAGGCGAGAGCCACATTTTGAAAACACCCGCCATCGGCGAAACTGTTGCCAATGGGACACAAACAGTGAAGAAATCTCGAGGAAAACGCTCGGCCCGCCCTTTCGACCGGCCTCGGGGTGCGAGAGGAGGAGGAGGAGGAGAGGGAGGAGGAGGAGGAGGAGGAGGAGGAGGAGGAAGAGGACTACGACGACGACGACGACGACGCCGAGCCTCTCGAGCGCGGCCCCCTTCCCGAGCAGGCGCTCAACGCGCGCAAGCCCCGCGGCGGCCGCCATCCGCCGGTTGCTTTGTGAGGGGTGGGCAGCCTCTCTCGAGGCCCCGCGGCGCGCGGCGCAAGGCTCGGGACAGTGGCGGCGCCGAGGGTAGAAGGGAAGGGGGGAGGGAGGGCTGGGGAGGCTGAGGAGCAGCAGAAGAAGAGGCGGGAGTTCCACTGCTCACAGATCGGCGGCGAGGCCAGGGGGGCGAGAGAGGGGGCAGGCTTCCTGAGGAGGCGGCGGGGCTTCTCGGAACCCCCAACGGAGGAGTACCAAGAAGGCCGCGAGGGCTCCCATACTGCGGCGAGGCATGAAGAAGCCCAGCCTCCGGCTCGTGAGCGCTCATCCTCAACCTCGGCCGTGGCCCGAACCAAGGAGACCAACACTTTTTCCGGTGAGGAGGCTACGGATCAGAGCGGGCGGGCTCGAAGAGAGCGCGGGGCAAGCGCTCTGTCACCTCCTCTTCCACCTGCACCCAGTCGTGCTGGTCTCCGAGATAATCGCTCGCCTCCATCACACCGTTGGATGGCCGGAGCACCAGGCGGTCCTCACGGGAGATGCCAAGTCCAGGGAGAGTAGGCCCACACGGAGGCCGAGCCCTCCGTGCGGACTTACTCCGCACGGACCCGGCATCCTGGCAGGAGGGGCCAATAAGTCCAGATCGCGGCGAGCGAGGGGTGGGAGACAGAAGGGAAAGGCCTTCTCAGCAGGCGGCGGCGCTTCTCAGAAGCCATCAGGCCTTCTGAGAATCTGTGTCTTCGGGGAAGGCTCAGAAAACTTCTCACACGGCCAGAAGACTTCCGAGCTTTCTGCCAAGGGCCGGCCCCGCTCACTTCACCCCCAGGCTGGCCGCCGATCAGACTTAATCCGCACGGACTTAACATCCTCCGATCCTCCGTCAGCCGCACGGTGCCTCGCTCGCCGGCGACCTGGGCGAGGTCTTGCTTCATGTACGTGTCCACGGAAAGCGGCAGGCCCATCGCTACTGCCTTTGGAAGGGAAGAGCACGAGGACCACGACCAAGACTGAGCGCGGAAACGTCGGTGTCGACCTTGGGCATCGTTCATCTTGGTCCTCGGCAACTCGTGGCCATCCCGGCGAATCTGCGACGACCAGCATGGCCCATCACCAAAATCAACTCCAACAAGATGTAGCGCCGTCTTGGTCATGCTCATCGTGCTTCTTCCCTCGAGCCTTGGCCACCGCGTGATCAAGCACGGCGCCTTCGAGGCGCGGGACGCGAGAGGCCCCGAAGTCCATGTGCACCCCCTCCAGCCACAGCACCGCCCTGGGCGGCGTCGTGCCCGCCACCCACAGCAACCGGAAATGCGCGCGGCCGCACGGGTTGTGGGGGAACTCCTCGGCGGTCACGAGAACCACCTTGGCGCCGATGAAGCACAGGGTTCTTACGCAAGACGGCGCGGCAACCCTGCCATGGCACATGCAGGCCACCAGTGCGGCACACCGCGTGGAAACAAGGGCGTTCCCGCTCGACCCTTGACTGGCCGCTTGAGCGCGAGTGCCCGCGCAGTCGACGGCAGCTTCCCTGGAGAAGCCAAAAGGTACAAATACCGCTGCTCCGCGGAGCTCTCCTGGGATGCGGTCTGACCAGGATGTCGAGAATAGTCCCGCCGTGGTGACGAAGAGGCTCCAGGACGAGCAGCGGTATCGGTACCCTCTTCCAACTCGGATTTCCACGCCGCCCGCCTTGTGGCGCGCGTTGCACAGCAGCGGAAGGAGGCACTGGCCCTCATAGTCAAAGCCGTGGCTGGGGCCTCCGATCTTGGTGGCCCAGAAGAGGCCCAACTCGCCAGGTGCGTCCTCGTGCACCAGGAGCGTTCGCACTCGCGTCTCCGTGGGCTCGCGCCACTTCTCTACCTGCGGGCGACCGCGCTGGGAGGAAGGCTGGGAGCCGCGCGCGTATGCAGGAAGGCATGTGGGCGCTTACCTGAAGGATGCTGCACATGTCTAGTTGAACGTATCACGCTCGCGAGCCCACCCCCGAAGAGTGTACACTATGCTGTTCGCGGTGGCGGTTGCGAGCACAGTATCATGATACTGATTCTGTCCCCGTGAGATGGCCGAGCTGAAACAACAAGAGCAACTGAGCGGAGGCAGGACGGCCGGGAGAGGCGCGGTGGGAACGTGGCAACGAGTGCTGTCGCTGCGCCCCAGGCCTTGCAGTTACGCTCTTGGAGGCAGAAGGCCCTGAACAGCGCTGCGGAATACCAGGCGGTAAAGAGGGCGCATGCGTATAGTGCTACAGCCAATCAAGAAAAGCGGGCCAGAACGCTATAGCGAGTGATGGAATACGAGACACCATGCGACAGATCACATGGAGAACCATGTGGAACATCGTGCAGGAAACCGTGCGGTAGATCATACCGAAGACCATGCGAACTGCGGGAACCGAATGGGGAAGCCTACGAGGTACCCTCTGGGAGACGATGCTGGAGACCGCGTGGGAGACCATGCGGTAGAACGTGCGGAGTGCGGAAGACCACATGGGAGACCACATGGCATCCATGCGGGAGACCATGCCAACAAACCGTGCGGGAGACCGTGCGGGAGACCATTCTCGGGAGGCCAGACGGGAGACCCCACGGGAGACCACATACGGGAGACCGTGCAGGCAACCACGCGGGAGACCGTGCGGGAGACCGCGCAAGAGGCCACGTGGCCCATAGGGCCTCTCGTGGTCGATTGCGTGGTCTCCCAAATGATCTATTGCCTGGCCTCCCAGATGGTATGGGAGACCACGCAGTAGACCATACAAGAGAGACCCTACCACAAAGACCCCAAACGGGAGACGGGAGACCATGCGGGGTACCACTACGGGTAGCCACGCGGGGCGTAACACACGGGAGGACCAGACGGGAGACCGCATAAGGGTGGAGGGTTTCTCCGAAGGGCTTAGGCGACCCGTCCTCCTCCATCTCCTCCTCCTCCTCCTCCTCCTCCTCCTCCTCCTCTCCTCCTCCTCCTCCTCTCTCCTCCTCCTCCTCCTCCGCCTCCTCGCCTCCTCCTCCTCCTCGCCTCCTCCTCCTCCTCCTCCTCCTCCTCCTCCTCCTCCTCCTCCTCCTCCTCCTCCTCCTCCTCCTCCTCCTCCTCCTCCTCCTCCTACTGGAAGCCCTGCGGGAGACCGCACGGGATACCGTGCAGGGGGGCCCCGCGCGGGAGACCCCACCGGGGGGACCACGCCGGAGAGCACGCGGGAGACCCGGCGGGAGACCCCGCGGGAGACCCCACTGCCTGCGAGTTCCGCACCAGGGGGGGAGCGGCCTCGCCCGTGATCAAGTACGAACACGGAAGCAGCTCGTGCACTTCCTCCTCCTCCTCCATCCTCCTCCCCCTCCCTCCTTCCCTCCCTCTCCTCCTCCTCCTTCTCCTTCTCCTCCTCCTCCTCCTCCTCCTTCTCCTCCTCCTCCTCCTCCTCTTCCTCCTCCTCCCCTCCCTCCCTCCCTCCCTCCCTCCCTCCTCCCTCCCTCCCTCTCTCCCTCCCTCCCTCTCTCCCTCCCTCCCTCCCTCCCTCCCTCCCTCCCTCCTCCTCCTGCTCGCCTGGGAGGTCACGACAGTGGGAAGCCATCGCCAATTGGAAGCACGGTGATATGAGATCACGATGGCGGGGGACCGCGAATGTGGGAGACCAAGACGGAAGACCGTGGGAGACGGGGGGCCATGAGTGAGAGCGGCCACGATGATGGGAGACCGCGATGCTCGCAGACCACGGGTATGGGAGACCGCGATATGATGGGAAACAACAGTGGAAACCTACGACGAGGGGAGGCCGCAGTTCTCGGAGACCACGATGGGATACCATAAGCTACCCAAACCCGCGATGTCGTGCTTCGTTCATTACGTGGGGCCCCAGAGGTCTGGACCCCTTCATGGGAACTGGCTTGACGGTCCCCGGGCCCACTTGGGGCCCCGGAAGGCCGAGAACTGTGAACGAACGTCCATCGCGTCCTCTTCGCGCTGCGAGGGGGTCTGGGTGCGGGCGACCATGCGGGCGGGCAAGATCTACAAGCATCGAATCGGACAATCGAATCGCATCGGAATGTGCGTCGGATTGGTTTACATCGGCACGAAGACGAAATGACATCGAATCGGCCATGCTAAGGTGCACAACGGCGCCACGCAAAAGCACCAGGCCGCGATCCATCGACGGAACACCGGAATCGGATCGTGTCGGCGCGAGCGAGATCGATATCGAATCGGATCGACCGGATCGACCGTGACCCTGTGCAGGAGACCATGCGCGGGGATACTCGAGTAGGGGATCGACCGCAGAATTGATCCCCCTCAAAAAGTGATTGTTTGTCGAATCGATGCAAGCTGCTACAGTCAACCCGCATAATGAAGAAGGGCATCCTTCCCAAGGGTACCCTTGCATCCTTGCCTCCTCGGTCCATCCTTGGCCGCTTTCGTTTCGAAACGGGCGCCCAAGGCCCTCGCATCCTTTTCGCGCATCCTTATACAGGTTGACTGTACGTTTCTTCGTTGTGGGGATATGTCAATGCTGTAGTCGATCCCCTACTCGAGGTATCGCCATGGTGCGGGCAAGACTTGAATCTACTACAACGTGGGGTTTCGAACTCCCTCCCCAGCACCCCGAGGCGCAGTGGATATGGATAAGAATCTGGCCCTTGTAGAGGTTCGATGTTTGTCCAGATCCCGTGCACATCGGCCTTGCGGTGCCCCGCCCAAGAAAGCGCAATACGCACTGGATACGTATATACAGATTGCCCGCACATGGCTGAGCAGGGAACGACCGTCCCTGCATACCTATAGGTCTACCACCAAATGTTCTTGGAGCCCAAAGAGGTTCTGAGAACACACACACACTGTTCTTATAACATAAACCGATGTGTTAAAACACGACAATCTCAGCAGGACGCGTTCTAAGAACATGTCCTGCAATCCACAACAGGTTCTAAGAACACTCTTTGGTGGGCCTATAGGCGAGCCAGGACGCTCCGCCACAGCTTGACGTGGGTCGCAGCAGCGGGGCCGCCTGCGCCTCGGAGAGGCCGCGCAGCTGCTCCCTGCCCACCGGGTTCTCGCGGCCGCGGCCGCCCGGCCGATCCCGCCCCGACCCCCCCCCCCTCCCCCCTGCCAGGCCACGGCGGGGGTGCGCCGCCGCCCTCCGAGGGGTGCAGCCATCGTGCCACTGCTCGAGCAGGGGAGCGACCACAGAATTGATATACCCCAGAATCAGCGTCCTCGTCGAAAAAAGACGCAACATTCATTCTTCAGGGAGTCGACAAGAACCTAAATTCTGGGACGAATCAATTCTGTAATCGCTCCTTTACTCGAACTGGAAGGAACGCGAGATGGCTCGGCCAGGGAGATAAGGAGAGCACGGGCCTTTGTCTGGCCACGGCTGGCCTTGGCCACGAAGAGGCCCCCCCCCCCCCGGGGCCCAGGTGCGAGGAGCGCCCCGGAAGCCAGGGCCGCTCTTACCGAAATGGTCCTTATGGCAGCGTCTTGAGCGTAACCCCCTGAGCAGGGACCGAGCGTCCCGGCTTTCCTGCAGGCCTACCGCGGAATCCTATTAGGACCAAGCACACGCCCTAAGAACAAAAGCGCTGTTCTTATACCATAAGCTCGACGTGTCAAAACAAGACGGTCTCAGCCAGAAATGTTCTAACAACCTTTCGTGCAAACCACAAGAGATTCTTAGAACAGCTTTCGTTTCGTTGGGCATATACGCAAACCAGGGCGCTTCGCCACTGCTTGACCCTCGGGTGCATGGGCGCCGCAGAAACAGATCGTGGCAGCCAGCCTTGTTTGCAATGCTTTGGCTCCCGCGGGGGGGGGGCCGTCTTTCACTGCACCCTAGGGCTGTCAACTAACGGCTCAGGACGCCCGGAATTTGCTTGCAATTGGACCTTGGACAGGAGAACATCCGCCAAATACATGAGACCCTCCGCAAGATAAAACACACATAACATCCAAGCGTACCATCTCCAGGATGCCAACAAAAACGAAGAGCATTAGGGTACCCGCCCCGAACCAACCTCGACCGTATACCTCGGTCCGACTGTAGTGAGGACCTGATGTTTCGACCTCATGCTTCGTGTGAATTTCACGCTGGGCCCCCTGTCGGCGCCATCCGGATGGGCGCTCATCAGATGCAGACTCGGATCAGCGCAAGCGAGCCGCGTCATCTCGCACGATCATGGCGCTTCCCTGCCACTTTCCTGTCACCACCGCGCGCGCTGCCGAGGCACCCACCTGCTGGGTTTTTTCCTCCCGACGGCACGGACCCAGAGCCCCATATGCGGGCCTCCAGGGGACCACGCTCGTGGAAATCCTCCACCCTGGTTTTGCCCAAGGCGCTGGCGGTCTCCTGCTGCTCCTGCTCCTGCTCCTGCTCCTGCTCCTGCTCCTGCTCCTGCTCCTGCTCCTGCTCCTGCTCCTGCTCCTCCTCCTCCTCCTCCTCCTCCTCCTCCTCCTCCTCCTCCTCCTCCTCCTCCATTCCTTCTCCTTATAAATAACTCCTCCCCGTCGCACCCCGAGGCCAGTTTTTAGGGCGGGCCGGGCGTTTCGCCTGGGCAGGGGTGACCGAGCGACCGCAGCTCTCGTAACGCCACCGGGCGAAGCCGCCCTCCAGCACGGCGGCGGTCAGTTCCGCGACCTTCTGCTCGATCGGCCTCGCCGGCAGGACGGGGAGAGGGAGAGGGAGAGGGCAGCCCAAACCACGAGGCAGCGCGGGCAAAGACCACCAGGGCGGGCGACATCTCACGATGCCGTCCCCCGTGGGCCTTTCCATGGCCCGCCAGGGGTGGCCACAAGCCACGACGCGCGCGGCGAAACGACGGCCCCCAGGGTGGGCGTCGAGAGCTCGAACGGCCCACGCCGCGGCATAGCTACGACGTCGCTTGTACAGGAACCTCGATCGCATTCTGCCTCTCGCTTGTGCTGTGCCTACGACAGCGAGCCCGTCATGCGCTTCGTTCTCGCTTGCACTACTCCCCGACTGCGCGGGGGGTCTCGAACCATGCACTGAGAACGAGCAACAACCACACACCTCCGATGCCACGGATCTTCCGCGACACCACTGCTCGAAGGCGCGATGAAGACGACATCGGAGAGGGGTCCAGAAGTTGGAAGCGGCCAGGAGGTCTGCACAGGATGGGCCCCGAGAAGATCTGTCCACAGGGGACGACCAGGCCGAGTCCGCTCCAGATCCTGCCCCAGACCCCCACGGGCGAAAATGATGACCAGCTCTTCGAGCTGCATCTGGCCGTGGCGACGAGGAGACCCCTTTCTCCCCCATTCCATCTGCGAAGCTGCTGTCAGCACTTCAAGCTTGAGGCTCAGAAATGGTCAGGAGGTCTCGGGCGAACTGTCCGGCCCGCCCTCCCGACTGGCTCCGGGGTGCGACATGGGAGGAGCAATTCGAAAGAAAAAAATACAGGAGGAGGAGGAAGATGATGAGGACGTGGAGGGAGGAAGAGGAGGTGGAGGGAGGAGCAGGAGGAGGCAGAGGAGGAGGAGGAGGAGGAGGAAAACGAGTAAGAGAAAAAAGAGAACTGGGGAAGAGGAGGAGGAGGAGGAGGAGGAGGAGGAGGAGCAGTAGGAGGAGGAGGAGGCGGAGGCAGAGGCGGAGGAAGAGGAGGAGCCTCCGCGGCACCGGCGCGCCCAGGAAAGTGCGTGTCATCGACTCAGTGCCCTCCTGGAGTGCGCGCAGGGGCAGGAGCAGCTCGCCCTCCAGGGCGGCGGCGACTGCGCCGAACGTCGTCCTCACCAGAGCCAGAGGAGAAGCACGCGGGCAAGCTCTGTACCAAGATCTCCCGATAGACCAGAGGCGGTGGGCAAGGATAAAAACACGGCTCCCAGAGGCTAGATCTTTCTTCACATCCACTGCGCCTCGGCCTTGTGGCGCCCCTCCCCAGAAAGTCCAAGACGCAGTGGATGTGGATAGAAATCTTGCCCGCAAAGCCGAGAGCACCGGCATCGAGAACCCATCTCGGAGGAGGGCCTGTGGAGACAACGACGGCCCTCCCTGGCGTTTCGCTTGGGGCTCTCCCGGTCTCCTGGAGGCTCCTCGTCGCCACGACTGGAGCCGCCTCGAGAAACGGGTCAGGATGGGCCCCGGGATGGGCCTGGGGACCGACTCTGAGAGGAGTTGAGCCCGGCGGGAGAGCCGCCGTTGTCTCAAGCGGCCCTCCTCCGACCCTCGGGGGGGGGGGGGGACCCACCCGCGGGCGGTGGCACACCCGAGCGCTGTCTTGTGCTGCGTGACGCTCGGGCATGCCACCGGCCAGGGCTCGCCCCGCCTTCTCCCCCCCCTCCCCGACGGGTCCTCGTGGACGGTCGCCGCTGCTTCTGCAGTAGGAGGAGGGGGAGGAGGAGGAGGAGGAGGGGAGGGGAGGAGGAGGAGGAGAGGAGGAGGAGAGGAGGAGGAGAGGAGGAGGAGGGAGGAGGAGGAGGAGGAGGAGGAGCCAGGGCAAGAGGCCCGACCCGTGCGCGGACTGCCGACCACGGCGCCAAGGGCCAGGCAGAGCCCCCGCGTGCCCACGGCCGACGGGCACCAACCGGGGCGCCAGAGCTCGTATGTTTCAGACGCGCGGCAGCCCCAGAGACACCTCTCGCGCATTAGCCGGCGCTGCGATCACCAAAGAGCCCCAAAGGGGAAGGGATGAGAAGTGAGGAGGAGGAGGAGGAGGAGGAGGAGGAGGAGGAGGAGGCGGAGCAAGAGGCGAAGAGGAGGAAGAGCGGGGAAAGAACACGCAGCACATACTGCGACACATCCGCACGTCCGCCCCCGACCTACGACCTCCAGTCCCGTGTATGTAGAACCCCGCAGTTGCGGATAAGAGTGAGGGGGCGGGCGTGGGGTGGGTCGCAAGTAGGTCGCGGGATGAGAATCGCGGGGTGGTTCGCGGGGTGGGTCGCGGGGTGGGTCGCGGGGTGGGTCGCTGGTGTGTCGCGGGGTGGGTCGCGGGGTGGGTCGTGGGGTGGGTCGCGAGGTGGGTCGCGGGGGGTGGGTCGCGGGTGGGTCGCGGTTCGAATCGCGGTTCGGGTCGTGGGGTGTGTCGCGGGTTGGGTCGCGGGTTGGTCGCGGGGTGTATCGCGAGTTTTCGCCAGTGGGGTAACAACAGCGACGACGACCACAACAAAAATCCGCACCGCAGAACCCCGCTTCAGCCACGCACCCAGGGACAGTGAATGACCGCTCGGACCCCCCACTCTGATATGTACCCCTGTATCCCACCCAGCCGAAACTCACGAAACTAACATGAGAACAGAAAGGTGATCTAGAACTGGGGTCAGCAATGCCCAGACCTGGGGTCAGCAATGCACATCTGCGACACCCTAGATGCAGACATTGTTCGGGGAAGAAGCTGTGATCGCACATCGATGCGACTATACCGTTTACCCGCGCACGATGACCCATGCCCCGACATACGGCGATGTGGTTTCTCGAATCCGCGGGCCCCAGGAGATCACGACCCCGGTCAACCAAAGCAAATGTCTGTCCCGGATCCACTCTGATGCTCCCTGGGCCCCGCAGGCGGCCCCCGGAGGCCGAGGCCGAGGAACGGCTGCCGCATCGAGCCAACCAACCCCGCCAAACTCCAGGCCGAGCGCAGACGCCAGCCCCTGCGAACGGTTTGAACGGCCACCACATCGAGCAGTCCAGCCGCCGTCCGAAGCCCAGGATTCAAGCGCAGCTTTGGGCCCCATCCTGGGGCAGCTCGGGGGCGCCAGCTGCGGGGCGCCGATCTCCTCGCAGAACGCTGCGGCGATCAGCTCTCCGCTCTTCCCCTCCTTCGGGCACGGGGCCGACTACAGAATTGATTTACCCCAGTATTAGCTTTCCCGTCGGATCTATGAGAATTTCCTCGTTTTTTATTTTGAATTAAATTCAGATTCGATTAGGGAGTCAATTTTGGGGTATATCAATTCTGTAGCCGATCCCCTACTCAACTCCTCGCCCTCGAGCGCCGCCACCGCTGCCGCCAGCTCGCGCAACCGCTGCTGCGAGCGCCGCTGGCGCTCCCGCGAGGCCTTTGGGCTGCTAGGGTTTGCCATCCGGCCCCTGAAAGCAGACGACGGCAGTATGTGAGAGTTCTTGTCAGCGTGAAGGGGCCGAACGGACACTCTCTGTCCCTGGGCGCGTGGCTGAAGTGAGGTTCTGCAGTACGGATTGTTGTTGAACACTCGCTGCTGAAGAACAATGATCGTTGATCCTCCTCCGTGGCACTTTGTGCTTTTCAATTACAGTGTTCCTCCCGGTGCTCGCACCCTGTTTGGTACAAAAGAAACTGAAGGGTCACCAAACTGGGCCCCTGGCCCCCGAGCTACAACAACAACAACATTAAGTTTAAGACTGTTCGCCCTTATCTGCTCGAGTGTCCAACGACTATTTCCCAAGCCCTCGATACCCGCCCTCTTCGTCTTCGATCGACCCCCTTTTGGGGGGTATACCTCTCTTCCCTGCAGGCCGGGCCCCGGCAAGCGGCGGGGCGGCCGCGGACCGTCGGCCTGGCCAGCGGCAGCGCTGATCGGCGGGGCGGCCGCGGACCGTCGACCCGACCCCAAGAGGGACGGACAGGGGACCGACCACGACGACGACGACGACGACGACGACGTCGAAGACGACGGCGACGACGACGACGACGACGACGCGAGAGCGAGAGAGAACGACAGCAGGGCCACGAAGGGCACGAAGTAGGCCACGAAGGGCGACAGCGGGGACACGAAGGGAATGCGTATGGGGCCACGAAAAGCGCGAACGAGCGGGGGCCACGAAGTGCAGATAATGCGGGCCACAGAAGGCAACTATGGGGCCAGTGAGGGTAGCAACTGGGCCACGTAGGACAGTGAGGGGGACACAAATGGCGACAGCGGAGCCACGAAGGGCATGCACATGGGGCCACAACGGGCGCGACTCCTGGGTGCCTGGGTGTCGGGAGCGCGGCGCTTGGGCAAATTGCAAGAAATTCCAACGCAAGGCCATTCAGTAAGTTGCAAGCAAGTCTCCAGCGAGAGCGCGACTCCAGAGCGCCGGGAGAGCGATTCCTGAATAAATTGTACGGAAGTCCCAAGCGAGAGCGCGACTCCTGAATAAAATGCGCAGAAGTCTCGGGCGGGAGCGGGGGTCATGGCTAAATTGTAAAGAATCTCAAACGGGAGCCGTTGTTGTTGTAACCCGGGGGCCATGAGCATGAAGACTTTCCTTGTCAAAAAACAAGGTGCGAGCCTCGAGGGGCACACTTGGATTGTGAAAAAACAATATGCACCGGTGGGGGGGGAGCAACAGTAATTATTCTTCAGACATGAGAATTCAACGTCTCCCGCTTGATACTTCCTTACAAATTATTGAAAACTCGCGTTCTCGCGCGGGAGTTCCTCACAACTTACGCAGGAATCGCGCTCTCGCGAGGGACTTCTTTTCAAATTATTCAGACGCCGCGCCCTGGACACTCAGGAATCACGCTCTCGCAATGGATTTCCTGAGCGCACATGAATTTATACATACTAATCCCAAGACTCTCCATTTCTGAACATATCTTCTTGATGATCCGTATCACCCCCCTCTTCCCACATCTTCTCACATTCTCTGCTGGGGCTAGACGATGCTTTGCGTCCGTGTGCTTCTGCCCTTCCGAGAAACCTCCCTCCCTCGACCCAGGCCCACGACGCCGTGATGTGTTCCGCAACGTCGACACGCATCCGTTCCAAGCACATCTCGGGTCCCCCCGCCCCCCCTGGGATCTTGGCTTCTTTTGCATTATATATGTATATATGTATACAAGACTGCAGTGACGCTTCGCGCCATGCACCTTGGTCCTTGAAGTTTGGTATGCAGGCGGAATAGCAGGAAGATGAAGCCGACAATTTAGCGATACCTCCTGGTTGCCTTTTCCAGCATCGCCGCTATACACTCCGCTCGTTAAAAATAGAATCGGTGAAACTAGGTCTCGGCTAAACTAGATCGGAAGTTTCTGTCCCCGATTTCTGCAATTCCGAAAACTAGATCGGCCCGCTTGCATCTTCATTTCCCATGCATTAAAATACTCTCCGCTCTCCTTTCCATTCGGGCGCTCCCACATACGCGTGCACCTAATGTGGCGGTCGGCTCGGCTGCGCTGAATTCGATCCGACCAGGCTCCATATACACACGGGTCATTCAAGGGTCGGTCTGCACGGTCAATCCTGCAGGTCACTCCGGGACTGACCCAGGCTGGCCCCAGACTGACCCCGGACAGACCCTGGACAGACCTCAGGCAAACCCCGGATCCGACCCTGGACCAACCCCGAACTGACCCCGGCCCAGACGGACCCCGCACAGAGCCCAGACTGGCCCCGGACTGACCCCTGACCCCGGACTGACCCCGGACTGACCCCGGACTGACCCCGGACTGACCCCGGACTGACCCCGGACTGACCCCGGACTGACCCCGGACTGACCCCGGACTGACCCCGGACTGACCCCGGACTGACCCCGGACTGACCCCGGACTGACCCCGGACTGACCCCGGACTGACCCCGGACTGACCCCGGACTGACCCGGGACTGACCCCGGACTGACCCCGGACTGACCCCGGACTGACCCCGGACTGACCCCGGACACCCCGGACTGACCCCGGACTGACCCCGGACTGACCCCGGACCGACCCCGGACTGACCCCGGACTGACCCGGGACTGACCCCGGACTGACCCCGGACTGACCCCGGACTGACCCCGGACTGACCCCGGACTGACCCCGGACTGACCCCGGACTGACCCCGGACTGACCCCGGACTGACCCCGGACCCCCGGACTGACCCCGGACCCCCGGACTGACCCTGGACTGACCCCGGACTGACCCCGGACTGACCCCGGACTGACCCCGGACTGACCCCGGACCGGACCCGGGACTGACCCCGGACCGACCTACCCCTAACTGACCCCGGACCGACTTCGGACTGACCCTGGAGTGACCCCGGACTGACCCGGGTCTGACCCCAGACATACAGAACGTTGTGTTTAGTATTCGAGTCCCGGCTCGGTAAAACTAGACTCGGTAAAAATAGATCTCGGCTAAACTAGGTCGCAATCTGATATCTAATTTTAACGAGTGGAGAGTAATTATGTTTTTCGTTATCCTTCCTCCATGCTTCTTTTTCCTTATTTTCGCAATGCCCTCCGCATTCTCCCCATCCTCCTCAGCTCTTTTTTGCGGAGGCTCCTCCTTGGAGAGCCTCTAGGGGCCTCACAAAAGTTGTTTCGGGCCTTCTTAAGGCCTTCTGGAGGTCTCCTGGGCGTATCCCGGGGGCCTCCGGGGGCTTCCTCGGGCCACCCTGCCTCCAACCGCGGTCTCCCTGAACAACCGAATCACGATTTGGAATGCTTCGGAAGGTGTCTTTGGGCCATCTTAGGCCGCCATGAGGCTCTCAGAGGGCCATCTTGGACCCGTGTTGTGCCGTTTTGGGGCTATCTTGGACTGCTTGGAAGCCCTTTCGGATGGTTGGTGGCCGCTTCGAGGCCCGTCCGGAGGGCCCCCAAAGCCCCAGGTCCCGGGAGTTCGGTTTTGGGGGGGGGGGATGGGTTTCCCCCCCGCCCAGGCTTATAAAACTATAGGAAAGGGAATATATATATATATATATATATATACATATGTATATGGGTATGTATATGTATATGTATATGTATATGTCAATGTATGTATGTACGTATGTATGTATGTATGCATGCATGCATGCATGTATGTATGTATGTATGTATGTCTGTATGTATATATATATACACATGGGCGCTCTGATGCTCGACAGCCCCGGCGGGCCCGCAAGCGGGCCCCCGCGGGCTGCCGAGCGCGACGAGACGCACAGCCGCTGCCTGCTTCGCTGACGCAGAAAAACCCGAGTGCGCAGGACGCTGCTGTCGCATCGCGCTCCGGCATCCCATGGGCCCCAGGTGTGCCCGCACCAAAGGACACTCCGGCGAAAGTAGAAGAAGAATCAACTACATAGTAATATATACTGTTGGCGCTCCGCGCGGGTTTCTTGGACTCGCGCTGGACCCCCCTCCCTGGCGCGCGGAGCGCGCCAGGGGCGGCGTCGGAGGCGACGCCGGGGGGCCCAGGTGCGGATTCAAGAAATCCGCGTGAAACGCCAACAATTTATGTTTATGTGGTTTTGTCGTCTTCGAGAAAGGTCACTCGGAAACCGACCGAACCGACAGCGCAGCCGAAGCCGACCGAAACATCCGCAGGCCGCAGGCTGCGCCCAGAATTGAGCAGGGACCGACCGTCCCGGCAATCCTATAGTCCTACCACGAAATATTCTGCGCGCGGCGGGGGTACTTATAAATACTTATGCTAGTTATAAGTAACTTATGAACTTACGGCCTACTTATAAGTAACTTATAAGTAACTTATAAGTAGCCCGTAAGTAGCCCGTAACTAGCCCGTAAGTAGCCCGTAAGTAGTCCGTAAGTAGCCGCGTAAGTAGCCCGTAAGTAGCCCGTAAGTAGCCAGTGGGTTCTAAATTTCAATGGTTTTGGTTCCAAACTGTTTGCGATTTTGCTAACATGTTTTCTGTGAGTTCCATGTTCGGAGGTCGATTTTTTCAGCATGCAATCTGGATTCGTATATTTCCATGTTCGGAACAAGATTTTCGCAGGTTGTAATTACATTCGTGCGCATGATGTTAACCTGATTAAATTTCTGTTTCTGTTGTTCGCGCCTATAATTTCAATGCTAACTTAAACGAAATTCTTGACACTTCGCGTATCCCCACCAGCCCATCCATAGTGAAACAGCGCGGGCACTACTGTTGAATTG